AACGTCAAAGCCCCCCCCCCCCAGCCAGCCCCACCCGTCACTCTACAGGCCCTGGATTCAATACCACGCAATTGTGGTCCTTCCGCAGCCCTTGATTCGATTCTGAACCTACCCCACATCATCAAGGCCTTCGCAGCAAGCATAAAAACCTTGCTACCTCGGAGATCCGCGTCCCGGGAACCTTCGCCTCAGGGTAATTTCCGTTTTCCTTGGCCAGCAGGCCGGAAGTTTCCGCGATCGCGCCTGGTCCGTTTGGTATGTTCGAAGTACTCGGCCTCACGGTGGCAAAAACTCTTCTGAGGGATAGGCTCAGCACTCCCCCTGTGCCGCCGTAGGCCTCGGCTGCCGCTGGTAGCGTTCCCGCTACTGTGTCAACCATGCAAATCTCGTCGTGTCTCGTCTCCGGCAGCTGCCCCTGTTTCGTATTTTTCACGGGCGATTTGAGATTCAGGTGAATCGAGTGGAGCCTTGGTGAACACCCCTTGATTTCACCCGCCGTACCTCGGTCCTCTCGGCTAACCCCGCTTTCGTCTTTGTCCGCGGGCGCAGGTGACGACATGACCTCCTGCAGCAGGTCGGGCGGAACTTCCACAGCTCCCAACCGGACGGGGTCTCCCTCCGGAACCCTGTCCCACACCTCCAAGATTAACACTCCCGCAACTCGGTCGGCCCGCCCGGATGGGGGTTGAGGTGGGCGCAACCTACCGCCCCCGCCTCTATCGGCCGTCTTAGGAGTTCCTATTGACGGGTTCGTTTCGCACAGGAGGCTGTCTGGTAGACGGAAGTCGGTTGCCCACATAGGCTCCGCCGAGTTTGGGATTGTTGTGGTCCGTCCCACCTCAAGGCCCCTTACGAGGACCACACAGTACGTGCTCGGGGCCTTCTTCCCTTCTCCTCGCCTGGTCTCCTCGACCTGGTCGTGGAGATGCGAATGGCCAACGACGAGTATTGATTGCTCGGGATGATGTGTTCACTTGACTTATTGGCAGCTAAATACAACAGGTTTCCTACGAAAAGCAGATGGATGCCCGGGGCATGTTACGTGCATGTATGAGTTTCTGAGACAATCCAAGTGCAAAGCATCCATTCGGCACGCAAACTATCATCACAGGTCAGAAACACGTATCCCTGTCTCGCACTCAACCTCGTTCCAATTGCAATGGACGGCGGCAAAAAAAGAGCTCAATCGAACACTTGCTGTTGCACAACGCGGTTTATACGACATGCCGCACACAGATGTGCACTGAAAACATAATTGTGATGGTGGATTGGGCTCTCACCAGGGCCTCAGCCTCGTACACGCTGAGCACGATCTCGTCGCCGACTTCCCTTCCAGCATCAGAAACGGCTCCGGCAAGCGGTGGTAGGTCCGACGAGCTCTCGCCTGAGGCGGAGGAAGCGCAGGAAACATCCGGCAAGGTCGGGCTCGGAAAAATGATTCGCACGCCGATGCCCAGTAGGCCAGAATCTGGCACGATATCCCCTCGAAGTACCGACGTCTCGCTCCAATAGCCCCCCCCAGAACTTCTGCAGCTGCGCGTGTTGCCGAAGTCGGCAACGCAGTCTCCACCTCCTCCCGCCATGCGGGCGGTGGACGCGTTTTCGACGCCCGACCAGCGGCCGCACCGAGGCGGTTGCGGTGGGTGTGGCGGTTGGAGCCGGAGTGGGAGGTAGTGGAACGGCACTTCTTTCAAGAGCGAGAAGGGCGCCCGAGCTTCCCCCAAGAGCACGTCGCCTTCGCCGACCCCGCCGTTGAGTACACCCTTTTGAACGACGGACGCCGCCGCTTGGGGTCCGACTTGGCTGTACACTCTCGCTCCGAGCGTGAATGGTTTCCCCCTTGTTGAAAATTGTTTCATTCCAGCATTAACGCGTAGGGAGAGATCAAAGATTCCCCCCGCGGGTATTAATGAGCCGTACACGTTTTTCGACCAAGTTTAAGTTCCGCTCACCCATGTCGACGCAAGGGTACTCCAGGGCGTTGACAAGTGGGAAGAAGGCGAAGCACGCCATCAACACACTGATGACGAAATACCTCAGGTTGGAGGGTCCTAACAAGGTACTACATACGCATAGAGCGATGTCTCATGCAACACCATCGCCCTGCTGAAAAGAGACGAGAACTGTTTCTGCAGGACATCACACTTCAACCAATTCTGTACATGCGCACGGAAAAATACATGTAGTGTGCATTTACCATACCAACAGTCTGGAGTGGAGGAAGTGTTGTCCGAGTTCTCACCGATATCCCTGGAAGTAGTGGTGTGCAGTGAGATGCCACGCTCCCGGCGGGGGTGGCGGGAGCTGCACCATAAAGACTTCCGAAGACCAGACGGGAAAAGTCGCCCCACGAGAAGTCGACGAACGGGCAAAGGGCTCGCCATCGAGGGTCAGCACGACGTACGGGTTGATGCTCAGCTGTCCCGGGGCTTTCGGTAGGCCATGGCCGTCGATGACCTCCACCTGTCGGGAGTTCGCCGAAGTAGGGAGGACGAGGGTGCAAGACTGCAGATGAATCCCCCCGTAAAGTCGTGCGATAACTTGGCTGGGAATGCGGGATGTAACGGGAGGGATGGGTTCACCGCCGTGTTGGCCCGAGAAGTCATTGCAATTTGGTTGCTGGACTCTTGTCTGTGGATCGAGATGAAACCATTTTGAAAAAAATCGTTGGAATGCATGGCATGAAGTAGTAGGACGCGTAACCGCACAAACCTCAACCTACACGTGGCGACGGGCTTGAGAGGGGCTAAGTTGGTGACCCACCTCGAAGAATGGCGCTGGGCACTGGAGCCCAAGCAAAAGACCTCGTGGAATGTCGAAGTGCCGCACAACCGCAACAACGGAGGCTTGAGTAGCCCGGTAGGCGGTCACTTTCCTGTAGGGATATTTTTGAAAACGCACGGGGACGGGTTGAAAGGGCTGGTTGCGCGCATGACAACGGTCGGCTAGGCTGAGACTCCAGGTATTCGTATCAAGTGCAGAGAGGATCGAGCTTTGCATTGAGCACGTACTCTCTAGCCCCGAACTCCTCGCTCTGACAACGGGCCTACCTCTTTAGGTGGTGGGTCAATGACCATGCTGTGGGTGTGTCTAGTCCGGCCTTTGCCGATAGCGCAAGCTCGACCCTCTGGCCTGGAGGCTGAAGTAGCAGCTCATCATCCACCAAACTTGCCCAACCGAGAATTCTTCGCGTTTTTTCTCGTCTTCGCCCACGCCCACTTCGCACGGCAGCAGCTCCGGCAACAACTCCAGTCCCGCCTGCAGAACCAGCGCGATCCATATTTTTGGCATTCGTCCTTGCTTTTACAACCATTGCGGTACTGCCTTCAGCATCGCATGAGACGTCGTTCGGTCTATCGCCCACTGCTCGCCCTAGCACGCGAGGAGCAACATCGTCCACCGCCGATGATGACGTCGCTACTGTTGATGATGACGTAGAAATTGACCAAAATACCAGCCGCAAATCCCCCCGAAGCTTTGCACCTCCGTCGCCATGCTCGGTCTCGTTGAGGCTGGCACCATGAGCGTTGTCATGATCGGGCTTCAACCAGCCTTCGTTGCCAGCCTCCCTGTCCGGTTTGTCGCCAACATTTGGACAGTGGTCCCCTGTTTCGCTGCCGGAGGCGTTTTCCATGAGGCATGCTGGTAAGCAGAATCGAAAAGGCCGCCCGGTGTAGGCGTCTCCTTCCATGGGGATCCATTCGAGCGACCGCAGGTCATGTGTGGATCCCCCCTCCCCACCCTGGCCCAATCGTTCTGATGACGATGGATTGTCCCCACGATGCCCTTCGTGTTCGCCCACATCGTTCTCATGTGATGTTCTGAAGGTTTCCTGTTGCTTGTGGGATGACGCTTCCTCCTGTGCGCTGGAAAGACTCGGAGAAGACAGTACGCCGCCACCTAAGCTGACCCAGTCGTTACCAAGCATTTCGTCGCCGCCGTCAGGAAACCAAGTTAATGGGTCGGCACCTCTTGGCTTGGACCCGCCTGCGGGTTGGTCGAGTCCCGCTCCGTTCGGATCCACGATTTCATCTTGATTGGGATCAGAGGAGCGCGACTTGGAGGCTGTTATCACAACCACGGAACGAGAAGAAGAGCGCTTGAAGTCACCTTGATCGTCTGCGCCTATTGGCAATGTATCCTCTGGGTGGAACGCGGGGAATCTTGCTGCCTTGCTTTCAGCAATAAGCGAGGTTGAAGGACGAACGGCTCGCCGTAACCGCAGCGTGTGTACAAGCGCCCCGTTCCAAAACGCCTCGCACAGAACCTCTCCACAAGAAGAATCGCCCGAATTCCTTCTGTGGTTCGCAGGACGCAATGATTCCGCCCAAGGTGTAGCGTGTTCCACCCCGCCTTCCCTTTGCGTATCAACGCGCTCCGACAAAAGTGACTCGACGGCGCCACACAATCCCACCAGGGTCAGTTCCACCCGTGGCTGTACGACGGCCGCTGCCGCCGCCGAAATGATCCTCTTGACCGCACGCTCTGCAAAGTTGCGTCGCACTAGCCAGATGGGTGGTGGCTTGGGTTGAAACCCAGCGGATCTCACCCGCAGAACAACCACTTTGTTTGCTTGAGGGTGGCGTAACCACCGCTTCTGCTTCGTCGGACGTCGCACCAAACCCCGAGCGTTTTCCTCGGGGCATTTGGGAAACACCGGGACCAAGATCTCGGTCCAATCATCGCGCAGGAGGTCTCGCTCGAAGAAGCAGACCTCTGTCTGCTCCTGAAAGGATGCGGAGGTACAACCGGTTGAGGATGAAGATGTGGTAGGTCCCATCACGCCATTATGGTGAGAACCGTGACCCAGCACGTCCAACTTTCTTCGTTCACGGCCAGGTTGGACCTCTGTACCCACCGTCACCCGTAGACAATGCGAACGCCCACCTCCTTCATCGTCTTCGTAGTTGCCGTCCCCGTCAACGTTACCCCCACCAGTGCTTCGACGAGGGCGACGTGTGCGACTAAGCACTTCTAAGTGATTGTCATTGGAAGCGTCCTTCATAATCCATGGCACGTACACGGGAAGAACAATCATATTGGACTTGGCGGCTGCTCTCGCCTGCGCCGAACATTCGTTGCTCGTCCCAAAATCGTCGTCGTCAAAGCTCTCTCCGATGTTTTTCTGGGAACCAGGATAAAGAAACTCGTCTATCATCATCAGACCATCTTCGCAGGACGACAGTTTCACGAATGCGGCGTGGTTGCCGTTCCACTCAGCACAGAGATGGAGGGGCGGCTCGTGGTGGCGTGGTGCGCCAAAGTCGGTAACTCCAGGCTGTTGGTGGTGCTGTCGGCTGGAGAGGCCACAGGAGGTGATATTTGCAGCGTTGGGAGTAGGTACTGGACGCGTGCCGACCACGCGGATCTCGATTCGCGGCACCTTTTGTCAAGTGTGGCGGGGGCAGGGAGTTCAGGGGCAATCTGGTCACACCCAGGAATTTCTTCATGACACGACGGGGCGACGGAAAACATGCCAACACGCGCTTTCGTCGTACCTGCCCTGGGATAGCATCCAAGATGTCCTGGATGATTGCTCCCAGAACCTCTGTCACGAGGAGGCGAGTTCGGGTGTTCTCTGTGTTTTCTAGGCTCAACAACAGCCGGAGCGACCAACCCACGGCAGATTCCCTTCCGTCTTCACGCTCTTTCCGACGGCTAGACCCTGCCGCCCCGCGTCGAGACGTCGGGGTCATGCCCACCACCTGTCCAGTCGACAGAGCCGCCGCATTGCGATTTTGATTGATTCCCGTCAACACGAGGTAGATCGGTTGGACTATCCTAGCCCGCGTGCAGGTCGTGCGGGGCCTGTAAAACGTTGATTCTGAGGGGTGGGGGG